TAAATATATATAATGACTGTCCTAATATAATAAAAAGTATACTTGATCAAGAAGTTACCTTAATATTAAAAAAATAAAAACAATAGATCTTCTTTAGTATAAGTGGGTATATATAAATTATTACAAGATTATAATATATAAAACCTAACTAATTTGAGCCAATTTAAGTTTTAACTTTAACTCTAACCCTAATAATTTATAAAATTACTTAAATTTGTTCAAAATAGTTAATTTATATATATTATAATTGTATAATAATTATATATGCCCACCTATATTAAAGATCAACCTAGCTCTTTTAGAAAAAACTAAGAAGAGAATAGACAAAAATCTCATAGAAAGAACTTTTTGAAAAGAGCTAAAAGAAGAATTTTTTAAAGTAAAATTAATAGCAATTGAGGACCTAGTTTAAAAAGATATAGCAAAAAAATACAAGAGTTTTATAATTAAGCAAAAAAGCCAGAACTTATATCGAACTTGCTTTAAATATAATATAGAACTGTTTTTATGAAAATATATGAAAAAAAATGTGAATTACTTTGAAGATGAGAAATCAGTAGAGGTATTTCAACTAAAGATAAATAAAGAAACAAGCTACTAAAAAAAAAGAAAAATCAAAACCAGAATTAAGTAAATCAAAATCTAAAAGAAGAAAAGGTTCAAGAATAGATAATTTTTTAGAAAAAATAGTTAAAAACAAAAATAAAAGAAAAAGAAAAGAGTTTTAAAAATATAAAAATAATAATATAATAGTTTTAGAAAGTTAATTTAAAATAGTTGCAAGCTATTTTGATATGACTTGTATGGTTAATCTAGTATTAGCTTTTTGGTTTTTAAAAAAAATTTCAAACTAGTATAGCAAACTGTTTCTGAATACCTACAAGGTAGCTAGAAGATGTAGCCTAAATATTAAACTCAACATTATATAATTTACTTATATAATAATCTTAATAAAGAATCATTAGCAAGATATTAAAATATATATATATATAAAATAAAACTAACAAAAAAAAATTTGCAAAGATAATAAAAAGTAATAACTAAAAATAAAAATATTGTTAGTCTTATAAAAAAAATTTAAACAAAATTAAAAAAAATAAAACTTAAACTTGTAATCTTACTACTAGAAAAAAAACTAATATCTTAAATATTAAAGTTAATAATTTACAAAATATAAACCTATTATAGCAGCAAAACAAAAGTTATTTAAATAAACAAATAAATATAATATTAGAATATAAAACAAAAAATAAAATTAATAAAGATAATTACAAAAATCAAATAATAGACAAATATATTAAAATTATCATATAAAATTAAAAATTAAAAAAAATATTAATTAAATAGATTAGAAAATTAGAAATTTAAATAATTTTAAATCAGAAAAAATCTAAGATAAAAATTAAAAACAAAAAAGATAAACAATACTAAAAACTAAAAAATCTTTATTTAAAATAGTAAAAAAAATAATTTATATAATTAAAATATACAAAAATACTATTGAAAAGATTTAAAAAAAATTTAAACAAGAAGATTTACAATTAGAAGAAAGAAGAAAATACTTTTTTAAAAAAAATTAAATATAAAAATTTACAATACAAAACAAAAAAATAAAAAAACTTTTTAAAAGCAAAAAAAATTAAAAACCAATTTATATAAAAAATAGCTAAAATTACAAGTTTAAAAAAAATTCAAAAAGAAAAATTACAAAATATAAGATCAAGCTACTTGTAAATAAATTAGAACAAATTAAAAAAATAAAACTATATGATTTATATTTAGTTTTAAAAATATAGTATTAGAAATATTATTATTAGAAAAATTTAGATTATATAGTGGAATTAAAATATATAAAAGAGAGAGATGTTTAATAGTATATATAAATAAAAATTATTCTTTACTAATTATATAAAATTTTTATATAGAAAATATAATAATTAATATAATAGTTATTATTAGTATTTGAAATTCAAATTTAATATTATGTTCTCACAAGAATATTTATATAATAAATTTTAAAATTTTTTATGTTCTCATATAAGTGTAACCTAAAATTTTTATGTTTTTTCTCTTTTTTTTTTTTTTAAGGGTGGCATCTTTTGCCTAAATCTTTACTATATATATTTTTATAATTACAAATTATGTGATAACTATAGTATATAATTAGTAAGACTTCAGATTAGAAATTTTTATGTTCTTAGAGAACATTGAGAACATTGAATTTCACACACTGGTTATTATCCGGCAGCTTACTATGATAGTGCTTGCCAAATAACCCGAGTTGTTTGGCAATAGTTACGTCACCTGCCAAATAACTTCGTTATTTGGCAGCTTACATAATCATTGCTAAAAATTCGTGTCATTTAGCGAACACAATCGTCGTAAACAACCGGATAACACCGTTATTGTATGCTACACAACCAATAACTTGTTTATCTGAACAGTGAATTTAATATGTGTCATTTGGGCTCCTTCGAGGCACATATTAAATTTCATAGCAAGGTAATGAATTATTTTACAAATAATCCTCGTTATTGGCTGCTTCGCACCCAATAACTATATATTATTGCTTTAAGATAATGTATTAAAAATTTAAATATTAATATTAATAAAATGACAATTTCTATTTGTATATGGGTGTATATACACGGGCAATATAGATATATCAAAATTTTAATTATAAAACCATCTTTGGCTTTCAACAAAATAACTTGCGAATTTTTGGTATAAACTATACCTTGCCCAATCTCAAACCCACCTTTACTCTAACCATAAGCGAGAGTTTAATTTTTCGTTTGTAAAATTGTTTTAATTAGCAAGTTGCTCGAATTTGTAATTCAATAAATTATACACGTGTATAAACACTACGTGTAAATTAAAAATTATTTTTATGCTATAGTTAACTATTTATTACCAATTAGTTTAGATAGAATATCCGTAATCATACTAAAAGATTAAATATATAGTAAATATTTTCTTGTAGGTAGTAAAATTTATTTATTATTGGTAGATTATGTTTCTTAATTATAGTAATGAGTAAATTTTAATTATAGCAATAGGTTATAGTTAGGGATGGCAAAAATCATGATTTAAATCAAATTTTGTGATCTAAAAATGATTAAAGAGTTAAAACATTTGATCTTTATTACGTAATTCAATTGTTTATATTCAAATTCTGACTTTGAATGCGATTTTTAAATCCACAGTATCTTTGATGCAACATAACATAACGTTCTACAAAGGTTAGTCTTTTTGCAAGGCGTAATAATAAAAGATTTAAATAAAAATCAGTGATTTATATCATCATATAAAAATCAGTGATTTATATCATATAAAAATCAGTGATTTATATCGTCATATAAAAATCAGTGATTTATATCATATAAAATCAGTGATTTGATTTAAATCACATGCCATCCCTAGTTATAGTTATATATACTATAATAAATAATGCTAAATAGAATATATACTACGTAACAATTTAAATCGTGATTTGAAAATATAAGACCTACTACATATAAAATCCACCTATTCTCTTTTATTAACAACTCTAACTTTAGATCCTAACCTAACTCTAAAAAAAGGTTAACACTAGAAAGTGCACCTCAAAATTTTTAAGATAGATCCAAGATTTAGTATCATTCACGACATTTATAAATTATTTGTATTAAGGCATATAGCTGAATTAATGTAAGAATTTTTAATAAAAAAAATATAAACGAAATCAAAAGTTCAAATGAAAACACCAATTTTTAGCTTTAGATTCAGCAACAACAAAATGCATTTTAAAGAAGTGTTTTTACCATATTAGTTCGCTGTTAAGATTAAGGATTGTTTATGCGGTATTTATATGTTGGAATCAAATTTAACTCGTACTTTAAATGTTTTACTGAATACTTTGAGTCTAATTCACTGATGTTAACGTCTGAAAAGTTGAACTAAATAATAGGTGTTTAAGAACTGTTACCTAATTTTTAACACTGCATATAAACGTGTTAATTTATATATAGTAAAATCTGTAATTTCATACCGTTACAAAAATTGCGTAAATGTTATTTACACTAACTTCCTAATTTATTATTAATAAAAAAAACCCAAAAAAGAGAGATTCAATGAACTCTGTAAAGGGACTTAAATCTAACTTTATAAAAAAAAAATCGGATTATTTATAATCAATATCCATTTAGACTTAATCCTATGTTTGTTCCACAGTATCAATTTAAATTTTTTTTCGATTTCTATGGTCATAAAATATGACATAATGTGACGCGACGCGACAGTTTTTAATAACCTTACACTATTATTAAAGTTTCTTTTTTTTGGAAAAATTTTGCCATCTTTAAGCTTGAGATGAACATAATGATTAAGGTTATCTCTATAATAATCGATTAAGGTTATCTCTATAATAATCTATTATCTTTACTTATTACCTTACTGGAACAATAATACAAATATGTGAATATTATGAGATTACAATCATTATTCAAGGTTCATAGGTTAAAAGAAAATGTAAACTATTTTGATAACTGATATTACTAAAATTTGCAATTGATTGTTAAAATGTACTCAAGTATAGATTTGATGAAACTATATTTAGGGGTTTGTACTTCTGTCAAAACCTGAATTGGCTAAAAAATGGAAGGTGATTAGTTGTGGCGCAGCCAAGCTATTGTTAAAAACCATTGTTAAGCATTGTTGACAACCCGGTCGGACGAATGGCTCATCTCTTTTCGCCTTCGTAAAAAACGATCATTGTTCTTTCTAAACAACGAAATGAATGCATACCAGATTGATTATTAAAGAAATGATTGAATGGTGCATGTATCAATGCATGTATCAAATATGCATAAAAATTCTATATTTAGGATCTACACACCATGCTTAACACGGATTACACTAATTTTTTTTTTTTTTTTTTTTTTTTAAAGAACTTGTATAAAAAACGAAAATTCCCAAATTTTTATCAATCGGTTACTATGAAGTATCCCGATTGTAAAAAAATGCCCGAAGACGAATTATGTTGTCTATCAAGGATAATAGTCACCATATTTTGTAATCAACCTAAATCGAAAATACATGTTCCACCTTTACCAACCGAGTGTATGCAACAAATCCTTCAACATATAGCAGATCAAGGCGTAGGATCATTATACCCATTCTTGTTGGTTAATCGATATTGGTGTAATAATGTTATACCTTTTTTATGGGCTCGACCATTTGAAGGAACATTAACACCAGAAAATCGATATAAATTCATGTTGATTTATTTATCATCTCTTACTGTTCAAGAAAAAACCGCATTGAATGTTTCTTTAAAACCTTATAACATTACAATTCCCGATCTAGCCCCACCTTTATATAATTACCCAGTGTTCTTAGAAGAATTTTCATACAGAAACGTTGAGCTAGCAGTATATTCGTGTATATGTCGATGGAATACCGAAGATTTTGTAGCTCGCAATAGAGAAGAACAAATACTTGTTTTAGCATCCACATTATGTCAATTATTCATGAGAAATTCTAAAAGTTTAAAAACTTTTATTATAGATAAATTTCTTAATCATTCCGATTTACCAGATTGTTCTATATTCAGTTCCGGACAACCTGGGTTAAGAAACATTTCTAATCTTACTATCGATTGCACAAAACCAATGATGGAAAATACAATTCGTTTGTTAGAAATGATTCCATCTTTGTGTAAAAATATTCATTGTTTAGATGTTAAACTTTTATTTTTTGAAAATAATACAGAGGTAATACAAGCAATTATAAAAATAATTAGGGCTCAAGAAAGTTTGACTGAATTTAAACTCGATGGTGTAAAAAGTGGAGAATCCAGAGATATTATCCAAGCTCTACAATGTCAATCATCATCCATTGCCACCATAAAATTTGAAAATGTTGATTTAACCACTGATTCTTTAAGATTACTCGCGTTATGTCAACAACTTCGAAATTTATCATTAATACAATATAGAGGATTAACCATGGAAGGTAGTACATCAACGGGTGGTGGTGGTGGTGGTGGATCAGAAAGTGTATGGAATCACATAAAATTTGATTTAAGAAAATTACATTTAAAAAATTCCGCTAGATCTCCATTAATACCAGCGGCATTAATTCGAGCTGCAGGAGAACACTTGAGATGTTTAAGTTACGATATAATAACTAGAGAAACTATAGAAGCCACGACCCTATATTGTTCTAACCTAACTGAACTAGAGCTTTCGGATTATTTACCACAACATGATTCTCTTTTATATTTATTATTTAATGGACTTCATCAAATCAAACGACTTACCATATCATCAGGACATAATAATGCAAGTAGATATATGGTCATTTCTGGAAGAGAATTACCTACAACTTTGGAATATTTAAAATTACAATGTGGACCCTCAATACAAATAGAAAATGTATTGAAAGATTGTGAGGCTCCTTTGAGAGTTTTAATCTTAGATGACGCAGTAAATTTAAATTTTGCAGATTTAAAGGTTATTTCGAAATTTGTGAAAATTAAACGAACGTTAAGATATTTAGGAATTGGTGGAAGGATATCATGGAATGGTAAAGAAAAAAATGAATTGGAAATGTTAAAGAAACGTGGAGTTAAGATTATTCCTTGCTTTGAAATTGACAAGTGGTAATTTAATACATGTAATATTGTGAAATCTTATTTGTGTTGGATAAAATTGTAGATAGAAATTTAAAATTTTGGGAAGGGAATATATGAAGACATATCGTATTTCATAAAGAAAATTCTCTATAGATTATGAACAACTCGTAATGTATATAACATCCTCTCCTTTTCTTGTAAATGATACAAACGTGTATTATTTTTGTGAATAAAAAATAGATTTCAGATTAGTAAACTTATTACTCGAATTATCCGAATTATCCGAATTACTCGAAAGAACTTTTTTTAAAAATTTGCTTATATCAATAATATTCATATGATTTGTTGCTTAAAAGATAAATACGTATACGATACGATTTATCTCCAATCTTATATTTTAATACAAAATTTCATACACATATTTTTCCATATATTTTTCACATAATCATAGATTTTGCCAAATACATATAAACTATTTTGCCAAGTACAGTACATATAAGAATATATTTTGCCGGATATATTTTATACGTACCTCGATCCTCATGGAAATTTATAGAACAATTCATTTTAGATAAAATCTAATATTTTTTAATGGAACGACAAAGAAATACAAATGAGTAGTGTACAGTACACGATTGTATAAAATAAAAAGGTAACGACATTTTTTTTTACACAATAATAAAAACGAAGCGTACTGTTTTTATGCAGTACGGAAGAAATATTAATTTACTAAATACTTTTTTTTTTTTTTTTTTTTTTTAGGAAAAAAAAAACAAACATTTGAAAATTAATTAATCGATAAAATTTTTCTTCCAAGCATTTGTAAACTTCATTGCAAATTCGCTCATCACATTAATACCATCATTGTTATTGTTCGATATACCAAAAACCCCATTTTTATGACCATTTAATCCCTTACTATTTATACCATTCATGGCCCCTTGAAGTTTTTTCAACATTGCCAACCCTTTAATTCTCATATCATTTGCATTTGCCGTTGATGGATGTTGTATTATAGTTGAATCATAATCCATGTTGTCATTATTATCTAATAAAAAGAAATGAAATATCATTATTAAATGGAAATTATGTAATGAAAAATTGAAATAAATAAATACATGGTAAATATTCGTAGTCGTCGCCTTCTGATTCTGAAGATGAATCGATATCCTCTCCATTTAGTTTGGCAACAAGGCGACTTTCACGTAATGAATATGCTTTTAACAAAACCATCGCAGGATCACGTATTGGATAGTTCTAGTTGAGAAAATGATGAATGGTGGTAAGAAACTACCAAAATTTACACATATATATGCGTCTATATAAATTGTATACCTACTTGTAAAAGTTTGATGTTATCTGCAAATGATCCATCAAGTAATTCTTCTTTCACGCATCTATGAATAATTGTAAATAAATAATATCTTACAAAATAGATTATACATGTGTACACTTACATGAGCATAGCGCAACATAAATCAACTAAAAATTCAAATCCACTGGATAGTTCTTCATCATCATCACTATCAGCAAATATTGAATCCCAGAGGCGAATAACATCTGGAAGAGCGAATTCTTGAGTCAACATAACAGTTAACCAACGAAATGAATAGTACGTAGGGTGTAAAGATTTTCTTTCCTAAAAAAAAAAAATTCAACATTATAAATATAATATAATAATTTGTTATGCATTCTAAATAATTACAAACCAAATCAAGCCATAATTCAGGTTCGAATGTTTTTAACCGCCGAATCATTTTTTTCATTGTATGTCCGATACCGGTTGTATCGTCCATATCCAAACTTCGAACAAAATAATCACGAATATGAGACATTAAGAGGGTAAATACAAAAAATGAATCGGCTTCCGCATGTGCTACATATTTCAAATTCATTTGTGAACAAAATTATAACTCATTTTTGAATATTGAATATTGAATATTGACAGAATGATAGCTTACCTTTTCCTTCTTCGTCACAATCATTAGCCATAGTATAATAAATAGGACCAAGTATTTCATTCATACCCTGAACATACCCAACACCAGGATTCAATTTTGCATATATGAATAAAATCCGTTCAACGGCTTCCCAATGTAAATCAACCTCGGTATCCTCATCCCGTGACCCATCAGACCTATAACTTGGTGCAGGAGAAGGAGTACGTCTATTCCCAAATTCTTTATTTAAATGTTGAACACGTTTAAATATGGATCTACGAGTAGTAATTGGTTCAACAGGAGTTGTAACATCCATTTGAAATGGAATTGATTGAGATATTATAGCCAATTGAGGATCTAAATTTGAAACTTCAGATTCAGATTCTGGATTTGTCAAAATGGTGGAATCACTATAAATGCTAAAGCTAGCATCATCATCATTAATACTATCTAAAGTTTCTAGGATGGACGGTGATCGTGTGCCATTCATTCTATTTATGTATTTTGCGGTAAGATTCGGACTTAATGGACTTAATGGACTTTGAGGAACTGGTTGTTGAAAGAATGCAAAGTCTGGTAATGTTCTTCTAACATCTTTATCAATTTGTTCAAGTATTACATTATCAGCAAAGTATTCGGCCCACTTTGAACTTGGTGAATAATTTAAAGGATGATCATCAGAAGAACGATAATCTATAGGTTGTTCTTTGCTTGGGTCTACCAGTAAATCTCTGACGAAACTCTATATTAAAAAAAAAAAAAAAAAAAAAAAAAAATTATAACTTTAAGAATAAATATGGAAATTATAAAATTAAACTACGTTACATACGTAATATGTTGATCTTTGCTCAGCAAGCGCTTTTTTCCATTTTCTCTTATCAAGAGGTAGATAACCCAATAATATCTAAACAAAAAAAAAATTTTAATACGTCATTAGATATTTAGATCCAGACATTATCTAACTAATCTGCTTGAAAATAAAGTTCTATATATATATATAATACATAATATATAAATTAGATCGAATTGAATGCATACCTTCCAACTTTTTTGCCTAATACCAGGTTTATCGGGAATGCCTAAGGCATGAGAAAGAAATCTTTTAGTATTTTATGGAAATTTTATTTGTAAAAAAATGGAATTATAGAATTTTTACTTTTCTATAATGATTACCAAGAAAACATAAATGTCGAAATTTGTAAAGATCTATCGTGGGATCTTGAGCAAGATTCTTTGTGCTCAGTATGGATTCGAATTGACTGAGTCTAAACAAAATTTAAAAAAAGTCAACAGTTAAAAAAATAATATCGATATAGTTGATATAGAATTTAATTTAATGCGGTTGTGTTGCTGAGAGTATAGCTAGCCAACCTTGAAACAAGTAGAACAGGTTTATTACTCAGCTGACCTCTCTTTATAGTCCATTAGATATATCTATATATATCTATAAGGATGTTTAATGGAATGAAATCCTTAAAAATATCGTAACAGATGTTACTTTTACTCTAATTAATACGAGGTTGAGACTTGGGATGATTTGTTTAAAAATTCGTTACTCGTAAATTTATATTTTTTTTAATTTTTTTTTTTTATAGTAACGAACGTACGGTTAAGTACCATGCAACCTTTATCAATTTTTTACTTAATATACTTGCATATATACTTGTCACCATATTTTCCGAGTTTGGCAGTTGCAAATGTGGGAATAAAAATTCAATTTTTATCGTGTACATCAAACAAAAGATAATAAGTCACTATAATTGGATCCATTACAAAAATCACAGCCCCTATTTGACCATTAACGTTAAACTATTTGTGCGCTTTTTAATATCACGAGCTCGTGCACCAACAAAAGAGACTAACTAAATAGAGATATGCGATTTTTAGATGAAAATACCGTGTGTGACAGAAAAGGATATAAATATGTTTGTCAAGAAAACCTTGAGTCTAATAATTTTCAACAATGGCGAATTGTTTTTGCAAATTTATATTAAATACTTTTTGTAAGAAAAAAAATAGCCATAAACCTTCTTATACTGAAAAAATTTCCGAAAAACTTTTAGATGATTCACAAGAGATATTCAATGATTATAAAGCAGCAACAGCATTTATACCAACAATACTTAGAGCTATTGATGAGGTGTTATACGGGGATAGGAAAGAACCACCACTACGGCATGACTCGGTGATTTCTCAAGGTCGATCAGAGCTTAACTTTTTACTAGATGAAAAAAAGAAATTATTGCCAATCGTGCCAGCCGAAATCATGAGAGTTATATTTAAACACGTTAATGAAGAATCAAGACAAGATCTTATCTCATGTCTTTTGGTGGATAAATTTTGGTGTAGTAACGTGTTACCTCTTTTATGGAACCGACCATTTGATATTGTATCTCGTGACAACCGACATAAACTTATCAGGACCTATATTTCTTGTCTCGAAGAAGATGAAAGACGTAATTTAAGTCTTAAATTGAAAACATTTAGGATTAAAATTCCTTTCACGGCGAAAGCGTTGTTCAAATATGAAACATACTTGAAAGAGTTTTCATATAATAATTTATACTTATCAGCCGATGCTGGTATAAGGAAATCTCTTGGTCAAGACTGTATAGGTCAAAGCATGCATGTACAAACGTTATTAATAGTTGGATCACTTTGCCAGTTGATTATGCGAAACAGTACAAACATGACATATCTTGTGATTTCTAAATTTATTGGTAAAGCAGACCTTCCTGAGAAAACAGCATTTATAAATTCACGTCGTAGTTTATCAAATCTTTCAAAATTTCAATTCGAAATTTCATCAAAAATAACAACAAATGGCATGTCATTTCTACAAACTATTTCAAATTCATGTTTGGGAATTCGACACCTGGATATAAAGCTCTCATATATTAATTTAAATGATGAAATTAAAGTAATGGAAATGTTTTCAAGAATCATTATTTCTCAGGGAAAGTTAAACGAGCTTTTATTGTCAGGAGCGAGAGCAGCAAATGGGCTAAAAATGATTTTGCAAGCTTTATCTCAAAGTGAATCATTACATTCTTTAGAATTTAAATTAATAGACTTCTCAGAAGTCGATTTATCACCGTTAAAAAACTGTAAATCTTTAAAACATTTAACGGTTCAATATTGTCAAGGATTAACAACGGAATCTACAGCATCATTATTACAAGCACAATTTTCATTGGAATCATTAAAGTTTGGATGTCCGCCAGTATCATATTCAACACAATTAGCACTTTTGACAATATTTGGTAAATCGATAAAGAGATTAACAATAGATTTATTAAATCAAGAAACAATTTTCACAATTTTAAATAGTTGCCAAGAGATCAGACATTTAAACCTAGAAAATTGTTTCATGCAAAAACCAATTAAAATTGGAAAACTCTTGCACGGATTGATAAAACTTGAAAAGTTAAAAATATTTATAAATGTAAAAAGTGGAGAATATGAAAATCTGATATTGGAATCAAAAGATATACCAAGTTCATTGGATTGTTTAGTTTTAGAGTGCGGGTTCACTACTATTCAATTAGATGAATTATTAAAAAATTGTAAACTAAATAGTTTATATATTAATTATTTGAATTTTGAGTCATCACATTTTAGAGTTATTGCAGAATATGCGAAAAGGACAAAGGAGTTGAAGATTTTAGGGATTGAAAGTAATAAAAGATGGATGGATGGAGAACAGGAGGCGTGGGAGTTGAAAAGATTAAGAGACAATTATGGAATTTTTTGTTACATAAAATGAATCAGATTATGCGTACGTAAACGGGAGATCATATAGTTATTTTCAATCTTAATATAATTGGAGGCATTTTGTTTACCAAAAAAGAACTATCTACTACCTATTTATTAGATCATTTTACTCTACAATCACTAAATATAGATATTAAAGACATTCCGATCACCATTGAGGTAATATGCAGTGTCTGCGCCTGACAAAATATTTACGGAGTGTTGCCATTGTTGCCACAATTTGTTCTTTTCAAATCACAGAACGTACTCAACAACGCAACACTGAACACAATCTTAACGCGTAGCATAATAACTTTCAAAGAAAAGGCACGATCGTCTAGATACATTTAAGGTCATAAGTTTTTAGGTCCGATTATGATGATTATGACGTTAATCGTCGCCACAATAATTGTTATACTTGTTATACTAGAGCTGGGGTTAATTACATTAGTTATAGTAACATATAAAAGTTTAATACGTATCGGTATTTTTAACTAATTTCAATTTATCCTGCGTATGCATTAATTGCATAAAAAGAAAAATAGCTAGCTAATTACGCAAATAGGAAAAAAATAACAATAAAGAACAATCTTAATCTACACATATTCATGTACGTACGTACGTACATGCGTACGTTAACATTTACGTACGTACGTACGAACATTATGCGAACATTATGCAGTGTGTAGATATTTCCTTGCGAAAATTCCGCAAGATGAAAGAAATTGGGAATGTGCTTCAGTTTCAGAAGCAACATTAAATGATTAACAAACAACATTACCTCATGATATTTTAGGAAACCAAATTCAACCATCAATGATTTCGATTCGCTTGGCTAATATTTATTTAGTCACTGTTGTACCGTACGTATATGCATACATACAAGCCATCTTCTCTTACGAATGTTGTTGTGACACGGCATAACCAGGGTATTAGTTAAAAAGAGGTTTCTACTTCTTAAAAAGAGAAAGTGGCGGCTTTTTATTATTTTAATTTAATTTTGAGAGTACGCCATAACTAATTCACTTAGTAAATCTGAGGAAGATATCGAAGATATTGATACCGATATGCATTATAAAGTTTCCAGATTATAATTGTCATATGCTGTCGTAGATCATGCATTTCCCCGGTTAATGTGTCGTCAATATTGTATGTCTTTTACATATGAAAAAGTCTTCATAAATTTCTTTATTTTATTACGAGTTTCGGGTAATAAATCCTACTTTTTTTTTTTTATCGTTCATTTTTAAGGCGAATCTTAGATCAATCCGAATTGAACGAATCGGTAAATCGAATTTAATTTGTTCCTTTTTCAACCATATACACAAACGTGCATTAGATACATATTATATAAGCCGCTTAACCCCGTAATTGTTTAGAAACTACGTAAATTCAAATAAAATATGTATTTGGTGTATATTAAAGAATTTTCTACGTAATTCAAGAATTTAAATTAGTTCAAGTTCTAATACGTATTCGACAAAAACAATTAAGATTTTTCGCACTTAGTATAATTAAAAATTCTTATTACTATTTATTAAACATTATAAAAATTTTTACGTAGTGTTAGCGCTGCACCAACTACTAATTGCTTAACGTTACCCAATTTTGACATTTTCTTTAGGGATCTTATTGATATTATGGATATTATGGCGTAGGCATTGTATGTAGCATAATAAATATTATATAATGTGTAAGCCCGTCATTAAATTACGGAATACAAAACTTATATATTTTACCCGTTATTTAACGAAAAGTATTCGGTTCATTATTTTACACTAACATTAGCGTTATGTATAAATGTTACACGAATATGCAATGACTTCCAACGTATTCTAAAAGCTGATAAAAATTTGATAAGACTATAATCCGGGTGAAAAGTCAGTTGATCCGGTTAAGCCGGTTAGCTCGTTAAAGTTTTCGTTCATGAATATCTGTATGATATGGGCGTGTAACGGTACGAATTTAAAAGTTTGTACGTACGTAGATAATAAAATACGTATTAGACTGTTTTTAAAATTTGTAC